TCCAGGTAATACCTTTTCTGATATGCTTCAATCCAACCCCAAGCAAAGGAAAGAGCAAGGAAATTTGTAAATTATAAATTCATATGAAGATATTTTAGGGCTATAACAATTCAGAGCAATGCAAGGCTTCTAATACCAATTACTATCTTGGAGCAATCAGATGAGAACTCTCAGCTTCTCATCATCAAATCTGTATCTAAGCATCTACCCAGTTTCTACCTATATGCCTATCAGAAGGGATGAAAAATCCCCTCTTAAGGCCAGTGTCTCCATTAGTATTCAGGACTACATCTTCTTTCACTTTTTCAAGGACTTGAGTCCAGCAATTACCACCTCCGTGGTACATCCCCCACTTCTCCATCTCCACTGGATTATTCCAATCAGCAAATAAGTATGCTTTAATACTGTCCATCTGAGATTCCTCTTCAGGTCCTGTTTCTCTGCTCCCCGGTCAAAACTGATGGGCTTCCATTCCGTCCTCAACCCACTTCAATTGTGCTTTTGTCTCTGCCACTTAAATGGTTTTCATCAAGGTAACCAAAGGACACCATCTAGCTAAACACAATCCTCAATTTTCTATCCTCTTCTACTCATTCTCTCCGTGGCATGTGACAGTTTACCACTCCTCTTGCTTGAAATACTCTCCCCCAGGCTTCCCTGACATCCCCTTCTCCTGGCTGAGTGCCTCAGGTATTTAGCTCTCTCTCCCAGGTGATCTTACTCAATCTCACAGATTAAAAATATAGAACACTAGCCCTGACTTACTCCCTGCACTCAAGACTCAGAAATCCAATTGCCTACTATACAACTACAGCCCTATCCAAAACTCCACTCCTAAAAATTGCTCCCTCCACTCCAGCATTCCTCATCTCATTACAGCCTCATGCCACCACTAGCATCTGTACAATTGCTGGAAGTGACACCAACTTTTCATTCCTTCACTTACACCACATGCAATCCATCACCGAGCTGTGTGACATCTACTTCCAAAATATATCGCAAATGTGTCCATTGCCTGCATCTTCATTATTGCCACTGTTAAATTAAACAGGAGGCCATGAGTCTGAGGCAGTTCTAATGCCATGGCGGCTGGGCTTACAGCCTACAGAAGCAAGCCCAAATCTAAGATTGCAGATACCTCAAGGTTACAAAATCGAAACCTAAGGGCAACCAATCACCAACAGCCAATTAGGCTTTAGACTATAGTCAATTTATAATGTCTTTGCTTTGCTTCAGCCTTTTCTCTATGAAAGTCTTTCCTCAGTTCCTGCCACTGGAGCACTTCTAACCACTTCCAGTTTGGTACTATGCCATTCAGATCAATTTTTGCTCAAATAAACTTATTTATTAAAATTTTTAATAGGTATCCGTTTATCTTTTACACCATCCTTAGTCTAGGCTACCATCTCCTCTTGGATTACTCCCCTTTTAAAATCTATTCTCACATTCTCCCCAGCTTAATACCTCCATCACTGCTTCTCTGATTAAAACAATACCTAAGTCTTTACTGAAGGTTTAGCAGAACATGTCACCCTCAAATATGCCTCTTTGGCATAAGGATTATTTTGAGAAACTGCAGATACTGGAGAAGCTCTGAAAACAGGTATAGAAGCTGCTCTTTAATAAGGCAAATTTACATTAGAAAAGGGGCCTCTACTAGGAAGAGAGCTGTGCCCAGACAGAACTCTTCACCTCTGTGGAGGGGAAGCCTTTGTTTACCAAACAGTTACTCCTCTCACCTTCCCCTGAACTGCCATCCCACTTTGAAGCCCTAGACCCCTATCCCTTTCCTCCAGTAAAGATGGTAGAAAAGCCTCAACTGCCTGGCAGCTTTGTAGTCTCCTTCTTTGTTGGGCTCCCATATGTACATAATTATTTTGCTTTTATTAATTTTTCTTAAGTCAATTTAACTGTTAGACCAGCCACAGAACCTAGGACAGAAGGGAAATTATGCCTCCCCTGCATTTCCATGCTAACAGGCATGCATGATCTCCTGATCACCTCTCCAACCCGGCCATCAAACACTGTTTCCCCTTGCTTGCTCACTGTTACTATTTATGCACAGCGCTCTTCTTCCTGCTCTCGAGCACGCCCCTTATCTTTCTAGATGAGGACTTCTACAGGACAGGAGCTACTCCTTGTCAAGTGTTTCTCTCAGAGAGGCCTTCCAGGAGCATACTTTGAGGGCAGCCCAAGCCCACATGTGCGCGTGGGCGCACGCACACACACACACACACACACACACACACACACACACACACACTCCTTAGTAGGCAAGGATTAAATAATGTTAATAGAAAAAAAGGAGTGAGTTTTCAACAACATAAAACTTTGGCTGGGATTCAGGGAAGAAGAAACTTAAGATACCTGGTAAAAATTTATTATCCTGGTTGTAATAGATGAGAAACTGCAGAAATATATTCTGCTTTCAAGATTAAAGACTTTTGACAATGGTGCTCAGACCATTCAATGGGGTAAGAATAGCCTTTTCAACAAATGGTGCTGAGACAACTAGACAGCCACGTGCAATGGGATAAAAGCAGACCTCTACATCGCATTACACATATAAAAACATGAACTCAAAATAATCACAGACTTAAATGTTAAACATATTAAAATTTTTAAAAAAGGAAGTAAATCTTTGGAATGCAGGGTTAGGCAATGGTTTCTTAGATATGACATCACAAGCAAAATGACAAAAGAAAAAAACAGATAAACTGAATTTCATAAAAATTAAAACCTTTTTGTTTTATAGGTCACCATCTAGAAAGTGGAAAGAGAACTCACAAAGTGGAATAAAACATGTGCAAATCATCTGAAAAGAAGACTTCTATCTGGAACATATGAAGAACTCTTAAAAGTGAACATTAAAAAGACAAAAAAATTTTTTAAACTTTTTTTTTTTAAATAATTTTATTTATTTATTTGAGAGAGAGACAGAGAGAGTGAGAGAGAGCATGAGCAGGGTGAGGGGCAGAGGAAGAAGCAGACTCCCCGCTGAGTGGGGAGCCCGATGTGGGCCTTGATCCCCGAACTCCGGGATCATGACCCGAGCCAAAGGCAGACGCTTAACGACTGAGCCACCCAGGCACCCCAGAAAGACAAAAAAATTTTTTAAAGAATTTGAACAGATATTTCTCCGAATAAGACACACAAATGGCACGTCAAAAATGTTCAATGCCATTAGTCATTAGGGAAACACAAATCAAAAAGCACAATGAGGTATCATTTCTTACCCACTAGGATAGCTATTTCCTAAAAAAGAGAAAAAATTCATGTTGGCATGAATGAGGAGAAACTGGAACACTTATACATTCCTGGCAGGAATATAAAATGGTGCAGCCGCTTTGGGTAAGTTTAGTTGTTTTGCAAAACGTTAAATGCAGAGTTATCATATGTCCCAGCAATTCCACTCTTTGCTATATCTCCCGAGAAATGAAAACATATGCTTACACAAAAACTTGCACATACACGATCATAGTAGCATTATTTGTAATAGCCCCAAAGTGGAAACAACCCAAATGTCTATAAACTGATGAATGGGTAAAAAAAATGTAATATATTTATACAATGGAATCTTATATGGTAATAAAAAATAGTATTTATAGGGGCGCCTGGGTGGCTCAGTCGTTAAGCATCTGCCTTCGGCTCAGGTCATGATCCCAGGGTCCTGGGATCGAGCCCCGCATAGGGCTCCCTGCTCAGCGGGAAGCCTGCTTCTCCCTCCCCCACTCCTCCTGCTTGTGTTCCCTCTCTCGCTGTGTCTCTGTCAAATAAATGAATAAAATCTTGAAAAAAAAATAGTATTTATAACATGCGACAAATGGAGGAATTGTGAAAACCTTATCCTAAGTGAAAGAAGCCAGTTATAAATGACCCCATATTATTTGATTCCATTTATATAAAATGTAAAAAAGTAATGGGTCCTCACTGATACTGGACAGCTCAGTAAGCCCAGTGTTTTCTGACATGTTCCCTCCATAAGATGTCCCATGTGAAAAGAAACAATAGCCTACTACTTACTTCTGTATTCCAAGTGCCTGCCACATGGTAGATGTCTAGTGAATAAAAAAATACTTCCATTGCACTATTACATAAAGCAGTCTTTGAACATACAAATACCATTCTAATTCCCTTTTGAAGGTCTCACCCTTTCACCTTGTGTCAGATATAATTACATTTCAGAAATGAATGAATGTCTAATTATTCAACTGAATTTTGGGAGCGGACAGAAGAAGAGGAAAGGACAAACACGGCGTGCCATTCCAACTCTTTTAAATTAACATTTATTTTCTTGACAAGTGAGTTAAAGGCTGGATATAAAATAACCTTGCTTGTAAAAGGAAGAAAGGTGCTGTGTTGAAAGCATCTCGGATACAATTTCGTTGAAATTGTTTAATAATCAAAGCCTTTTTATATGCTACTATTTTTAGACTAGCTTTGGGGTCTTGAGCAAATCACTTAACTTCAATTAGCCTCAGCTTCCTCCTTTCTAAAATTGGAATAACAATAATATCTAATCTGTGTCTCAGGATTGCTACATAGCTAAATGGAAAAAGAAGTGTGTAACATTGGTATAAATGATCAAGAGCATTATCAGCACAGTTATCATTGCTCTTCCTGTGCAGCTTGCATGCATTTCAAGGCTTATACAATTTACTAAGCATACATCCACTGGAACTGTACTGGTGTCTCTTACCTGTTAAGTATCGTATATATTTTTCTCAGAGGATCAAATGACTGTGCTGGTCCTTTACTGAAAATATATCCCTATTGCTTAATATTCTTAAATCTTCAAAAATATGAAGGTACTTGCTAAAATCTCAGATTCCTGTATATAAGTCCTTGATAAATTCAAGCTCAGATAAGGAAAATACACATCTGATTAACTTTTGTACAAGTCCTATTAAAAAGTATGAATGGTACATTTCAATTTTTTAGTACATCAGAGTGAAAGCTACAGTTTTTAAGTTATCTTCCTTCCAGTAAAAATTACTTACCTTTGCAGCACAGGCTTGTATCACCTCCTAAAAGAAATACAATACAGTAAGTAAGGAAATATTCATAATTTCATTTTAATAAAATTATCAACTCTTCTCAACATATCCTGATATTAATCTTTTAATAACCAAAATCAATATTTGGGAGAGCTTCTTTGTCTATCACCCTCGCCCTGTACCTGTCACTCTACGTTGTGAATTAAAGAGACTCAATGTGTTCTTAGTAAATCTAACCTGCCGCAACAAAAGGCACTGAGAACAAGACTCTGGAGGGCCCACATGTATCTGTCTCAAGAAAAACATGTGGCCTCAATAAACTTAATAACAAACTTAATAATAATAAACTGGTAAAATGCTAAAATTCTACCAGAGCACTAACATGTCTCAAAGACACACCCAGAATTAATTGCCATATATAATTATCTCCATAAATAACAATGCCCACAAATATAATTCCCACATTAATAATTTATTTCAGAGGAAATCTAAGAATAAACCCTATTGAATGGCAAAGTATATGATCAGTATTGAAAGAGCTACAGAAAGGAAACGCCTATAAAATTCATGGGACAAGGCCAAGAGAGGATCACTTCTGAAAAAGAAACTAGTACAAGTCAACACATAAGGAATGATTTGAAAATTTGCTAAGGAGACACAAAACATACTCAAGTCCAAGAAAGGTTAGCTAGCATGTATCATCAGCCTACAACAGAACTAGAGAAAAGAAAAACGGTAATGATGAATGTGGAGTTTAGGAAAAAAGAGAACTGAAAGAGGAACATCAATTTTTTATCCAGACATTTCTAAGGGAAAGACACTGTGTCATAAAGGATATTAGTAATTCGATTCCTAAAAGGAGAAAGTGAAACTGCCTGGGCATGAGAGTCTGACTGCCTGGACTCAATCTCAGCTCCAGTGCCAGCTGTCCGTGTGACATGGGTGATACTGCATGGGCTCTGGAAACCTCGGCTTCACCTTCTGTAAAATGGGGGTAATACTAGCACCCACACTATTCGATGGTTTTGAGGATTAAATACGATGAACATGTAAAGCATTTAGCACATTATGTCAGTTATTACCCATAATTCATTACGTCAGTTATTACTCATAATTATATAGATGTTAGTTACCACCAAACAAACATTATTAGGTGAAATCTCCTATAGGGCAGAGAAAATTAACCTTTTTTTCAAAGCTGGCATAAAATGTCCTTAAACCCATCTAATCCCTATTCCTATGACTCTGCTTAGTAATCAGTTCTGTAATCACTAACCTGGATTTCAGATTAATTTTTAAAAGGGAGAGTGGTCTTGAGTGGGCAGGCAGCTGGAAAGGTATATCTTTCACTATAAGATGTTTTTTAGGTTTATAAATCAACTTTTTGTAAGACTGATTACTCCTAGTAGGTACCCCAGATTCTGAGCAAGTCTGGATGCACTGAGAGGATCAAATTTTAAAACCTTAGAATGAATTTTGTCAATACTCTCCAGATACTGTCTGGCTAGGAGAACCTATCTGGGCTGCAGTATGCCTTCCAGGGACCTGCTGTAGCAGCAATATACAGTCAAAACTGTTATGTGGAAAACAGCAAAAGGACTACACAGTAAAGCTACAGAGAACACAGAATCCTCTATTTTTGTATCCTTTACTCATTAATGAGTAAACGCCTATTAAACGCCTGTTGAACTAAATTGGTTATGTAATTCACACACCCCCCCCACCCCCCCCCCCCCACACACACCCTAAGCTTGCACTATATTTTATTTAAAAAATTCCTATTGTGGTTACAAAGAAAGAAGTATCTCCAGTAATACAGTCTTCTATAATATAGAAGTAATCAAGTCTTCTCTATTAAACTTCTCTGTAGAATACCACTGTTATAGTCTTCAATGGATTAAGTAATAACCTGACAAAAAAAAATTGGGGCTCTATCAAAATAAATTATAGGAAACAAGAAAAAGGCATTGTGACAAAAGGTAAAAATCCAGACAAACTAAATGTTTGTAAAATATAAAAAGAATAGAGCTGCCATGGGAATAAAGATGACTTTTTGTTTATTTCCATACATACTATATACATTATGAAAAAAAACACTGCAGATAACATTTGAAAAAAAGTTCAGTGAATTGTCTCAACATGGGAAAAATATGGTTTTTCAAAAACACAGCAAACAAAGCTTTCATTTCCAAAGGCAGCCTTGATCTACACCTCAATCCCAATGCAAACAGAAACTCCAAATAATTTTTAAAAAGACGTGGTAAAAGCTAAATAAATTAATGATTCTAACAGAAATAAATTTTTCTCTTATAATAAATTACCAATGTGCTTCCCCATGCCTTTGATTTCATATCTTAAAAAATATCTTTCTGATTTTTCCTTTACATCCGGTTTCTTTTGTTCATATATCCTTCCATTTATCTGAAGATGACAGCTATGTAAGATGATGGAAAAGAAAAACTACAAGACTGAGTTGATTCCAGGATGATAAGTTTTACAGTGTGAAGACCAACAGATTGTAGGAAACCTGTTCTTTTATTTATCTATGAGTCAGTTTCTCTTAAATCTGCAAAGTCATTTTGTCATGTAAAATTTTAGACAAGGGACACTTTTTTTTCCCTAGTGAAGAAACATTTTTCTCTAATTTTCAAAACTCAATTTAACTATTCCTTTTAAAATCTGGAACACCACACATAATTCAATTAAAAAATAAAATGTTAAAATACACAGACTTATAACACTGAAATAAACTTATTTACAATATATATTCTAAAATTTATACTGAGAAGAATAAAATATTTCTCATATATTCCAACAAAACCTGCAGTCTGATATACCTGAAATTCTAATTTTCTCAAGAAAGAAAAGGAGAGAAAGTGAGTACAGTCATAACTAAAGGTGCCTCAGTGTAGCTCTTGATATGTTTGGTTTAAAACTGGTCAAGATTCCTATCAAAGGAGGAGAGAAAGGGATAATATTTATTAAGTGCCAGGCACTGTGCCAAAAGGTGAGAACACAACACGGAACAAGTCTGCACAGTCCCTGTCTTCAAGGAGCTCAAGGCTAACTCTAACTAAAAGAACTATTATGGTCAAAGAGCATAAATATTTTTAAGGATATTTAAGCTTCTCAATACTTCTTATCTTTGAGAAAGACTGTGTAGAAGTTTATAGCTAACAGAATAAATAGCACAATATTTTTAACTAAGCATCCTCCTCACTTTCATAATCTATTTTCCAGTTTTATGGGCAATACCTGGTTTTTACGGCACTTTTTTTCATGTAGTGAGATAACAGACCTTTTAAATATGCTTAAGGAACATTTGTGTCTACTCTTTTTGGAAGTACATGCTTATTAATTTTATCCATTTTTTTGTGGAGGTCTATTTTTCTTTACTGTTTAGTTTTGCACATTAAGGAGGCTGATCCTAATATATTTTATGTAAATATTTTCCCAGGTTGGTGTTTGTTGTGTTTGTGTGCATTACACATATGCACACATACACACACTTCCATTTTTAAACAGCAAAACAGGTCTTGGGTTCGTTTTTACAGAAGTATCAGGTCAGGAAAGCCTGTAGATTATCCTAAATTGGTCTATTTACTGCAGTGAGTGATGTTAGAATAAACACCACAAAGGAACTGTAAAAGCACAAGAAACTCTATTTTTAAGTAACTAACTTTGTTGAATTAATATTTATTGGCATGGCAACGTAAAACAGAATCAAAATGGTTTTAAAATTTCCAACTTCTCAACTGCATAAAATCATTAAACATACTGTGACAGAATCGAGTCTCTGTTTCACTTGCTGCATCTTCATTGAAGAATGTTCAGTGTGGACATAGTCATCAATCTGAAAAGAGCCTTGGTGAGGCAGTTTAGGACAGGTGCATAAAGCATCTTGACTTTGGTGTATTCCAGGTAATGGAAATGTTCCACTGTAGCGTTTGAACATTTCAGCCTCTTGCTGGGCAACTGGAAAAATAAATCTATAATAAGTTCAAGTCAACACAACAAAGGCACAATGAAATAATTAAGTCATGAAATGGTAGCATTAAATAAATGATCAGGAACTACATAATACATTTTATAAAAACTGGGTAATAATAAGACAACATGACTGAAAAAATGTGAAGTTTTTAAATACTATAAAAGCATAAAAAAGGAAAAAATAATTTCACGGACAATTTATGTCAGGCAGTATTATAAATGAGCCTTGAAGGCCATGGCAATCTCTCAGTCTGGTAAACAACAAACTGGGATGGGAGCCTAACTTTAAATATATGTATACAGAAAACATTTGATATAAAAACTCAAAGGCATACAGAGTAGAATTAAAGGAAAGGCAGGAATAATAAAAATAATTATTTACAAACCCATCTCCCTAAAACAACTATTTTCATATTTCTATATCCCTCTTAACTTTTATGCATATGTACATTTTATGCAAGATACCATAATAGGAATAAAATGTAAAGTTTTTCAATTTAAATACAGACAACTTTCATATCTTTATTACTATATAATTACCATTTTTTAAAAAAGATTTTATTTATTTATTTGACAGGGAGAGACACAGCGACAGAGGTCACACAAGCAGGGGGAGTGGGAAAGGGAGAAGCAGGCTCCCCGCGAAGCAGGGAGCCCGATGCGGGGCTCGATGCGGGGCTCGATCCCAGGACCCTGGGACCATGACCTGAGCCGAAGGCAGACGCTTAACGACTGAGCCACCCAGGTGCCCCTTGTAATTACCATTTTTAAATTCTTTACATCTCATCTAATGAAGCTCTATTATTTATTCATGCATTCTCCTATTACTGAATATTTACAATGTTTTCTGTTTTCCCTCATTACAGACCATGTGTGTAGGAGTACTTTCATAGTTCAAATTATTTCTTTTTTTTTTTTTTTTTTTAAAGATTTTATTTGAGAGAGAGAGAATAAGAGACAGAGAGCACAAGAGGGAAGAGGGTCAGAGGGAGAAGCAGACTCCCTGCCGAGCAGGGAGCCCGATGCGGGACTCGATCCCGGGACTCCAGGATCATGACCTGAGCCGAAGGCAGTCGCTTAACCAACTGAGCCACCCAGGCGCCCGTTCAAATTATTTCTTAAAATAATTCTTTCTTTGGATTTAATTCTCAGGCTGGAATAGATGGTCAAAAGGGTGAATGTTTTTGATGATGATGATGATGATAAGGACAACAGCACATATACTGCACTTCATGGTTTTTAGAAGGCTTTCACGTATGTTATCTCCTTTGATCATTTAAAATTAAGGAATTTGAAAATCTGTAAGCACCTGTTCGAATATACAAAGGAGAAAAAACATACCGTGATCATTTAAAAAGTATTTCCTTCATTATATACTTTTAAATAGAAGGCCTTTCTAAATATAAGATGTAAAGTAACTGATATAATCAAGATTTGTAACAGGGACTCAATAGACCAGCCTTCAGGGATTCTGTGTACTACTGAAGTTACATACAGAAATCTGAATGTGTATAAATGTTTCTGGAAATCAGATCCATAACTTTTATCAGATTATCTGTCAAAGGACTGCATGAGTCAGAAAATGTTAAGAATTGTCAACATAAAAGATGGACAGATTTTGCTACATAAACATTTACAGAGTCTTCATTAAAATAAAAAACTATCATAATCAAAATTAAAAAGCAAATGACAAGTAATACAGCTCTTCTATCTTTGGCCAAACTAAGAGTAAAAAGGACCAGATTTGCCCTCCTGCTTGAAACTACCAAAAAGCAGATAGAATGTATAAAAGGAAGAAATAAAACTGTCTTTCTTTACAGATAGAATCGTCTATGCAGAGCTAAGATGACAGTGAGGCAAATGAAGTACATGAAGAAGAAAATTTAAGGAGAGACTCGCTCGATCTCAGGTCCTGGCCCTACTTTGTGTAAAAAATCTGAATGGAATCTAAACAATAAGCCATTAGAACTAATAATCAACTTTAGGCAAGGTTCCAGGATACAAGATCAGCATACAGAAATAACTGTATTTCTATATTCAAGTAACAAATAGTCAGAAACTGAAATTTTTAAAAAATGTCATTTACAATGCTATAAAAATATTTCATACTTTGGGAAAAAGTGATGAAAGATGTGAGGGCGCCTGGATGACTCAGTGGGTTAAGTGTCTGCCTTCGGCTCAGGTCATGATCCCAGGATCCTGGGATAGAGTCCTGAATTGGGCTCCCTGTTCAGCGGGAAGTCAGCTTCTCTCTCTGCCCCTCCCCCTACTTGTTTTTTCCCCCTCTCCCCCCGCAAAATAAATAACACTTAAAAGATGTGAAAGACATGCATATTGAAAACTACAAAACTGCTGAGAGAAACCGAAAAAGAACCTAAAATAGATATATTATGTTCATGGTTGGAATAATCAATATTGTTAAAACATCAATTCTCTTCAAATGACCTGTACATTCAGTGTAATCCCACTCAAAATTCCAGTAGGTCACTTTTGGAGAAATTGTCAAATTCTAAAATCCACATGGAAATGCAAAGAACTTAGAAGAGTTAAAACAACGTTGAAAAAGAACAAAGGGGACTTAAACAACTTGACTTCAAGTCTTACTATAAAGGTACAGTAATCAAGACACTTCATTATTGGCATAAAGATAAACAGATTAAGAGAAAAGAGTCTAGCATGTATGCACAAGGTGTAAAAGGAATTCCATGTAAAAAAGACAGTCTTTTCAACAAATAGTGCTAGAACAATTGGATATTCATATGTGAGTAAACGAACTTTGATACATACTTTATACCATGTATAAAAAATAACTCAAAATGAATCTAAATGTAAAATAACTTAAAATGAATCTGAATAACTCAAAAAAGAATCTAAATGCTATACCAGGTACAAAAAATAACTCAAAATGAATCTAAATATAAAACCATAAGAGAATTTCTTTGAAATCTTTTTTTTTTTTTTAAGATTTTATTTATTTGACAGAGAGCAAGCACAAGCAGAGGGAGCAGCAGAGAGAAAGGGAGAAGCAGTCTCCCAGCAGAGCAGGGAGCCCGATGCGGGACCCGATCCCAGGACCCTGGAATCATGACCTGAGCTGAAGGCAGCCGCTTAACTGTCTGAGCCACCCACGTGTCCCCATAAGAGACTTTCATAGAACACAGAGGAGAATATTTTTGTGAGCTTGGATTAGGCAAAGATTTGTAGATACAAAACCAAAAATCCATGTAAGAAAAAAATTGGTAATTTTGGACTTCATCAAAATTTCAAACATTTGTTCTTGAAAACTGTTAAGAAAGCAATTAGAAGACAAGACAAAGACTGGAGGAAATGTTTGCAAATCATGTATCTAATTGAGCACCGCTTATATAGAGAAAACCTAACTTTTTTTTTTTAAAGTATCACGAAACAGTATTTTATGCTGTGTACAGGTTGCTATGTAGGTCTGCACACAAATTCATATGGCATGGCAAATTAATGACATCTTAAATGTACTGATCTCTTCTTTTCCTGATCCAGAATGTTTCCAGTTTAATTGATGTATAATTGACATATGATATTGTCTAACTTTAAAGTATACAACATACTATTCATTTTTGTATATATATTACAAAAGGATCACCACACTAAGTTTAGTTAACATACATCACCTCAAAAACAAACAAAAATCCGTTGCCTAATACAGTTCCAATTCTTTTTCCTGGTGATGAGAATTTTTTTTTAATTTTTTATTGTTATGTTAATCACCATACATTACATCATTAGTTCTTGATGTAGTGTTCCATGATTCATTGTTTGTGCATAACACCCAGTGCTCCAGGCAGAATGTGCCCTCTTTAATACCCATCACCAGGCTAACCCATCCCCCCACCCCCTCCCCTCTAGAACCCTCAGTTTGTTTTTCAGAGTCCATCGTCTCTCATGGTTCGTCTCCCCCTCCGACTTACTCCCCTTCATTCTTCCCCTCCTGCTGTCTTCTTCTTTTTCTTTTTTCTTAACATATGTTGCATTATTTGTTTCAGAAGTACAGATCTGTGATTCAACAGTCTTGCACAATTCACAGTGCTCACCATAACACATAGAGAAAACCTAACTCTTAATTAAAAGTCAATAGTCAGAAACAAACAAGCCAATTAAAAAATGGCCAAAAAATTCGAACAGACACTTCACTGAAGAAGATAAATGGATGGCAAATATGTACACGAAAAGATGGCTCAACATCATTAGTCACTAAAGATAAACAAATTCAAAGCACTGTGAAATAGCACTGCACACCTATGAGAGGGGCTAAAATTAGAAAGATTGACCACTTCAAATTTAGCAAGGCTATGGAGATACTGAAACCTTCACACACTGCTGGTAGGAAGGTTAAATGGCCTGACCACTTTTAAAAACAGTTGGGCAGCTTCTTAAGCAGTTAAATGGACATCTGCAATTGGATACAGCCCCTCTACTCTTAGGAATTTCTTCAGAAGAAATGAAAGCACGTGTTTATACAAAGACTTGTGATGCACATTCTTAGCAGCTTATTTCTAATAGCTAAAAGCTGGGTACAACCCCAACACCCATCAACAGGTGGACAGAGAAAAACAAACTGTGATCTATCATAAAATGAAACAATACTCAGAAATAAAAAGGATGAACTATTGATAAAATCTAAAATATAGATAAGTCTCGAAGTAATTATGAGTGACAGAAGCCAGACAAAAAAAGAGTACATGGTATAAATGGTCTCACTTATATACAATTCTAGAAAATGGAAATTAATTCATAGGGATTGCCTGGGGGATAGAGGAGGTAGGGAGAGATTTCAAAGGAGCACAAAGGAACTTAGAGATGATGGATATGTTCATTATCTTCATTGAGATGATGGTTTCACAAGTGTTTAAATATGTCTACACTATCAAAATGTACATTTTAAATATACTGCATGTCAATTATACTTCAATAAAGCTGCTCACACTAAAAAAAGCAAAAAGCTAGTGATA